CTTGCTCATGTTGAAGTGTAAATAGATGACCATAGTACTCCTACGCCTTAACGGATGATCTCTGATTGCTGTATCGCTTCTGATATGCTGTAAGCAAGAGCTGAGGAGGACAGAATAGGTGATATTCGTGCCTGTCATTTGTGCATCATCAATTTTTACCAGCTAACGGGTGCTAAAACAACAAATGCTTGTTTCGACAAATTTGATACATTTGATTTCCCGAACTTTGCTGCAACAACAAACAGGCAGGCAGCTAAATGTTGCTGTCGCACGATACAGTTTGCAGGATCATCGTTGATGATGAAAGATCCGTATATGATTCAATAATGTAGGCAGACATATTCGACTTGTACAAACACCTTTGTATGTTGAACAACAAAGATGGGAGGCAATCCACCGAAGATACGTGAAGCTTCGCTTGCTAATGCTTCATTGGCACGAGCAGCACTTTGTTCCAAAATACAGAAATTACCGCCTGAAGAACTTAACGTCGGTGCCATACATGCGAAGTTTACCTGCAGTTCAATCCCGTATTGACAAAGCAGGTTTGCAGAGCTGGCGATGATTCCAAACTGAAGAGGCGCCATCAGGCAATGGGACCAAGAATTGAAATCGACCGTTGCAACAAATTGGCTCAGTATCATCAGACTACTCCATCAAAAATGCTGAAGCTTGGTATGAGCTTGCCCTTACATTTGTCTGAAGGGTCTCCCCGTCCTAGCACACACGCACCTCGTTGTAAGCTTCAAATTCACCTGAGCGAGCCAAGCATAATGCCTCAACCTGCAACATCGAATGTCCACGAGCGTTGCGAGCTATAAACCCGACTGCAATCAGCTCATCGCCCTTTCGAATAAGACCAGCCACCGTTGCAAACATCGATATGGAGAAGCCCAGAGTTTCACGCTGTAAAAATAGCTGCAGTGGTCGTTCGCATCGACTGCTAGCCAAGGCGAGAGAAACGAATGCTGAGCCAGTACTGAACCGACGAATGCGCGTAATTATACCAGTGGCTTGCGCATAAACCTTTCGAGATCCATCGAAAGTATCCAAAGCTTCGGCAACTGCTCGCTCTTGGTCCAAAGCTGCTTTCATACGTGCGTCTGGGCTGTCTATAGTAATTAACCTGTCAGCCAGCTCAAACTTTCGAGTAGAGAGCTTTCGCTTCAGCTCCAACCATGTCTCCAAAGCGACATCCCGGGTGTTTGTACTTTCACTGCTCGTCTCCGTTATTGAGGATTGCACCTTTGCCGACAGTGCATGCCGCTTGAAGCAGCAAAACATGTAGAGAGGTGTTCCTTCGCTTGGCTCCTTCATCGCGAGCGACTGTGTATCATAATCGTGGGCTAGAAATTCCTTTTTGTACCAACGCTTGCGCGGTGTGAGGCAAATAAGCGACGGACCCGTATTGTTGTCGGCAACACTACTACAAGCTGCCAGGAATTGATCTAGTGTGCGATACACGCGGCGGAAAAATGTCGGGTTCTTCTTTGAACGACCACGGAAACCTCGGAAGACGAAGCCTGCATCAAAAATGCATGTTAGACGCGGCGCGGGGAGTCCTGCATCGTTAAAGGACACGGTGGTCATTTCTTCTTTCTCACTGCTGCTTTTTTGGTCGAAATGCAGAGCAAAATAGGACTCCAGTGTGAAGGAGCCGCAAAGGTCCTGCTGAAGTCTTTCTTCATCTCGCTTTTCTTTATTTCCGGGGTCGCTGTCTGGATTAATGGTGCACTTGTAGAGGTCCAAGCTCAAAGTTTTCAAGCCGCGTCGGCCGTCGTCGATAACACGAAATGACTTCTCTTCTGATAGCGATATCGTATAAACGTTCGTGTATCCGTTGCGTAGCAGTGATCGCACTGCCGCACGCCGAGGGTGCCAACAAAGCACAAGCACACCATCATACTTTCTCAGGTGTGACGTGATAGCGGAATGTGAACTGCCCTCAGCTACTCGCCCCTCTGACAAGTACGTTTCTTGGCTCATCGATCGAGGGTCGCAAGCTAGCTCTGACAGTGTATCGCTGATAAAATCGAGCACTCCATCGTGCTCTTGTAGCATAATCTTTGCTTGCTCCTCCGCACTCTCATTTATAGCTGTGCTAACGCCAGATCCATCGTCACTGGCAGCCGCAAGTTCCTTGCGAATACAGCCTTTCATAACACCCGAAAAAAGCTGCAAATGAGCACGAGAAGCTTCACCATTCTGGCAACCTAAAGCAGAAACGTCTCCAACCCACAAGCGGATCTATGCAAAGCACAAAAGTATCAGCCACGACATCTACAAAAACATACCGAAAGAAGAGGTAGCAACGAACCTCGCGGTGATTCGAAAGCACACTGAAGTCATCGTACACAAGGTCTGGGCCGCGTCCAAAGATCGATTCCTGCTGACCATACCAGTTACAGCAAGGTAGCGTGACCACACCACAGATTTGTTCAGCTTGTATTGCACTCAGAGCTTGGTCTAGCGTCACGTGAGCGTGCACCAGCACCACTATTGCTCTTCGTAACGTGATCCGCACCTTTTCGATTTTGTTTCGGATCACCACGAGGTTTGATATCTCTGTCCACCTCTTCGATCGCTTTATTATGCAAAGCAACCACATATCGCAATCCCTTTATCAGCCTCGATATCTTCGACAAACATAGAAGTCCTCCCTACCACACCTCGCTCGTCTCCTTTTCCATTGCAGGATCCACACTATAACTCGTCCAGCCTTGCATTCGAAATGCAAACATAGCAGCTGTACGTGCTAGTTACAGCGAATAAAAATAGATGAAATGCCTCAGCCATCTCCTACCGTGCTCCACTTCAACAAGTCGTATACAATAAAAAAGGAGCGAACACGTGTACTCACGAGTGTTTCCATCACCAACGACTACGATTCCATCCTGCTTGCCTTCTTTCTTGGTGTTTGGGCATTCTCCACTAGCTCTTGGATTAATATACCGCCGGACAGTGTTGAATAGAGCCATGCTCTAAAAATTAGTCATTTCAAACATTAATGGGTTTTGCATGACATTTCGTACAATCAAGCGATAAACACGATATTGTAATACTTCAATAATTTGTAACTTACTTCGGTAATTTCTTTTTGCGTCTGGGAACAATCCGTATTGCAATAAAGCAGGGGCACAGTGCAATTTGCCCACAAACTCATTGAGATAACGAAGCGAAACGGAAGGCGTCGCGCTCGAAAAATTTTCGGCAATCTTAGGTGCATTAGACAAAGTGGAGGAAGAATTTGCAGAGCTATTGGAAGCCTCGCTGAGACGGCAGAGTTGCCATCGCGAGACGTGTGGAGTTGATGCCATCGTGGCCACTAAAAAGAAGAGCGTTTATGTAATAAAGGACTGGTTTCTAATTTAGGTCTGACAATAATTGCACCTTTCTAAACCATGTCCACAAAAATTGTGTGTGTTGAAAATTATCGCAATTTATCACCAATAATCGTACTACAACACGTCTTATCACAATTCGACACTCAAAATATTTTGAGTACACAATCTCACTGATAGCTCGCGAAAGCGTACACGCCAATGCCTCAACGTCGTTGCATACATTCACAACAATGACACGTTGGGTGATACCGTTCCTATCACTTCATAATTACGAGAAGCGTATACCGACCGGTAATGTCTCTAATATTGTAAACACTTTCGCTCCACTTGATCCCTCTCGTCTGGATGCCCTCTCACTTTTATTTGGATTTGGCAGTGTCATCCCCCTTCTAGTACGAAAGCTGTCACTGCATGTGAGGCATGCAAATATTGTTGATTTAGTCGTCGCCTATCTGAAAACCCTTCCAGCTCGCTCAAGTCTCTGAGAGCAAAATAATCTCAAATGCATCAGGAGTGCTCCAACAAAGTAAACTTATTTTCCAGTGCATTTCTGTTACTCCCACCGGTGCATCGATATTTCATTGAGCTTTCTAACGAATGCTCTTATGGTCCGAGATACTGCAGAACCAGCTTCTTACTGTAAAAGCCCATGATATGTAGAACGCAAATTCATTCTGTCAAAGCTAAGGTTGCACACATATTGTTTACAGCCAGCTTAGATGTTTGCTTCATCTCGGAAATCGCACATGGCCTCGGTGGCGTTACTCAAGCTTTGTATAAACGAAAGCGTATGTGCTATAATATCTTTTAATTTGTATTGCCATCCAACAGGCTTTGGCGGTGGGGCACCGGGGCTAGCAATGCCATTTGTGCCTGAAAATTGAATTGTCACGACGGCCAGCATCGTCGCTGAAAAGCGAAAGGATCTAAACACTACTTTGACCGCTGCCTCTCAGTAGTGCTCTGCATGTACCAAGGTGAGCATGTTGCATGAAATTTGCGTAAAAATTTGTTAATCGGAATAAGGTAGAGGATCATGCTTGATGCTCGCCTTTGATTGCGAGCCCGAAGGGTGGAGCTGTTAGGGGTGTGCGCAAGGTGATTACCGAGCTTTTAAATCGTAACAATCCATTTTGTGTGTGTAAATAACGCGGCTAGATGTGCCTTACATGTAACGGGGTGAATCGTTACATAACAATTTATAAGAAATTGTTAATAGAATATAACTAGAACAGTTATGTTCTCAGAATATTGTCATATGGACAATATTCTGCAGCGCTTACGAGTAGTTCCTAATTGGTTGATATAGGCCATTATATCAACCAACGAAGACGCGCCACGACAGACGCACGCAATGAGTGGTGAGCAGATAACTGATTTACACATTTGTATTTAGACATAGTTAGATGAAGATAAATAGTGATTTATTGCAGACATTAACTATGATAAATACAGTTCTACTTTTTACTTTAACCAAGTACTCGCTTCTTCTTACCGCCTTCCTCTGCACGTACGAGTGTACGTGAAGTTGCGAGGCATCGCCTTATTCTTTCATCAGAATGAGTAGCTTGTACTGTCATCAGTACAAGCTTCAGGGTGCCCTGTTACACCTGGTAGGACTTCGTAGTCCGTCCAAGGACCACGTTCACATCTAACATGAATATGTTGGATGATGAAGATGACCAAAGCTTTCACGCTACGCGTGACAGCTACTCCCATTTGAGCGATGTCGAATGGGATGCGGTTGAACGGATGGGTTCAACCATGGGCATCCATGCTGTTAGCGTCATGCTAGAGGCTCTCAATAGAGATGCCCAATATGCTACTATCGCCAAGTTCACTCAAAACGAACTTGACGCTGTACGCGAGAAAGTAGCCTTGCTTCACCAACAAGGTTCTCAACAATCAGAGTTGTTGAGAGAACAGGGTGTTCAACAGTTTGAACTGTTGAGACAGCAGCAGGCTGCTGCTGGTGGGTCGATGCACTCGCGTCGACCCGAGACTTTATAGGTTGACATCTCCAAGTATAGGGGAGTCGAAGAGGACTCCCTCTTGAGATGGTTCGTCGAATTAGACGACGCCATAAGGGCACGTCGCATCGACGACGGGGAAATGCAAGTTGCATTTGCCCAGTCAAATCTGGCAGGACGTGCCAAGACTTGGGCACTGGGGCTCAAGTTGCACGACCCATATGCGTTTGGGTCGTTGGAAGTCTTCAAGTCGCGGCTTAGACAAACGTTTGAACCGCCTAGAGCTGAGTTCAGGGCTCGGACCGAACTCTTGAAGCTCAAGCAGGGTAAGCGTGATGTGCACGCTTACGCGCAACATATACGACATCTCACGAGTTGTATTAGTTCCAACCCGGTTGATGAACACACGTTGGTTTCGCTGTTCATGCAGGGTCTTGCGGATGGTCCCGTCAAGACTCACCTGTTCCGACTTGAACTAGATTCACCAGAACAAGCAATTTCCATTGCGGAACAAGTCTGAGACAGGCTCGCGCCAGCTCGAAATCGTATCGTCAACCGAGACGATATGACAACGGAGGTACAGAGCCGATGGAACTCTGTTATGTAGAGAGCGAGAAGGCTCGCTCTACAGGCTACAAGAAGTTGCAGAGATGCAACAGATGTCAAAAGACAGGACACTACGCTTACGAGTGTAGTGCCCCTCGTCCAGTGTCTCGCGACACTGGGCGTAGTGACCGTCCACCCATGAGAAAGGGGCAGGGACGAGGGTCCGCAGTTGGTGCAAAGACGCAACAACGGGATGGACCGTCAAAAAACGGACGGGATCAGTAGGTGCGGAGCACCCTACTGATCCAGCAACGTCAAGAGAATTTGTAGGCCTCTTGATGAAGGTTGCTCCCAACACACAGACATTGTGCGTTGCTGCTCTAGGTAATGAGATCTCACTCATTACCTTGAAACTCGAAGTGACGAATAAGTTGTCCCTTCGAGCTCTAGTCGATTGTGGGGCGCCCAACAATTTTGTGCGACGCCAATCGCTAGAAGATGGTCACTTTAAATTCAGTGAATGTGACACACCTCCTACGAGGATGACGGTACGTCTTGCGACAGGCGCATCCGTAACCGTCATGAAGCGTATAGTGAAGATCCACTATACGCTAGAAGATACCCAATACGACGATGACTTTATCGTATTGGATTTGGATGACAAATTTGATGTCATCCTTAAAATACCGTGGCTCAGAAGGTACGAACCACGGGTAAACTGGCAACATCGAACAGTAACGATGCCTGCCGCTTGTTCATCAGCTGGCCATCTGGTGAACGTTTTGGAGCGTCCACAAGCGTGTGGATGTACTACGAGTGAGTGCGATGGACTCACTTGTGGTACGGTCGTTAGTACGACTGCACAAAACCTTAGTGCAACAAACGGTTACACTTCGGAGCAAAGTTCCGGCGGCTGTGAGGAAACACAGGCTGCGCCGAAGGTCCACCACTCGAATAAGTCGAGTGGACCGGGACAAAGATGTATCCCTAGCGGGGAATATCTAGAAGAGAAACAATCTATCGCTCAGGTTAAGCGAAACGATAATCCTAGATCGACTGGTAAGTCTTTCGTAGAGGATCTCGCTGTGGTTGCGCAACCCCAGCTAGAGGGAGTTAATGGAATAAGTCCCAAGATTACAAATACGGCGGAAATAAGTTCCCCGAAACCCGCGGGAATAAGTCCCGGGAAGCCGAAGGAATAAGTCCTTCGAAGCCTGAGGGAATAAGTCTCCAGGAAATGACAGAGACATTGAATGTCATAGTCAATAACGGATCAAGTGTAGGCGCTTATACACTTGATCTGATTGCGCCTCCGAAGTTAACTTCGGAGATCACTCAGTTGCCAACGCTCGAACATAAAAGGTTCTTGCGTGATCTGCGTAGTGGCAAAGTCAAGCAGATCTGCGTACTCGTCGCTGACGACGAGTGTGTAGCCGACATAAGGTCAGCAACAGTGTTCACTGAGAACGAGAGAGTTCTCAGTAGTTCATCTATGGACGAGAGTGTCCTAGATGAAAAGACACGAGTTGAGCGATATGACTCCCAATCGTGGGAATCGCTCAAGGAAAATCCTCTCTATGAAGATTTGGTTGAATTCAAGGATGTATTCCCTGAAACTGTTCCGTGCGAATTACTGAAGGATAAAGGTATTCGACACGAGGTCGAGCTCAAACCAGGCTCGAAGTACTGTGTCATGAAGCAGTGGCCACTGCCTCGTGAACAAGCACTTGCGATCGACAAGTTCTTTGCCGATCGTTTAGCTGCGGGCCATGTGAGGATGTCAGCATCCCCTCACATCTTTCGGAGCTTCTGTGTGCGAAAATCAACAGGAGGGTGGCGGATAGTGCATGCATTCAACAAGTTGAATGCTGCAACGGTACCGGCTCAGACACCGATACCGAGGAAGGACGTAATCATTGATGGTATGTCAAAGAGTACCATTTTTTCGTCCATGGATTTGATGGATGGCTTCTATCAAATCCTAATGCGGGAACAGGATATACCCTATACCGCAGTGAGCACGCCTAGAGGCATGCTCTGGGAATGGCTAGTAATGCCACAAGGGCTTAGTAATGCCCCTGCCACGTTCAACAGATGTGTATCACATCTGTTGAGACCGGTACGAGAATTCGAGCCGAGTTATTTCGATGACGTATTCATCCATAGTCGAGCTATGGATGTAAAGTCGGACGTTGAGGTTCACAGGTACCACGTCCGACAAGTTCTTACAATCATGCGAAAGCATCAATTGTATGCAAACCTCAAGAAGTGTATATTTGCAGCAAGCGAAATACCACTTCTTGGGTGCATCGTTGGTAAGAACGGTGTACGTCCTGATCCCGAAAAGATCAAGGCGATCACCGACTGGCCTGTGCGGGTTGATGTCAAAGGTCTTCGAAAATTCCTTGGGCTAGCGGCGTATTTGCATAAGTATTCACGCAATTACGCCGAGATGACTGTGCACCTCTCTCGTTTGTTGAAAAAGAACGAGAGGTGGGTATGGAACGCTGAATGTCAGCGCTCCTTTGAGGGTATCAAGCAGAGCTTGATACAATCCCCAGTCCTAGCAATAGCCGATCAGGACAGGCCATTTCCTGTGGTCTGTGATGCCAGCGATTTTGCAATCGGCTGTGTATTAATGCAGTACGATCTTGAAGGCGTTGAACGTGTCGTCTGCTATCAGTCGCGTCAGCTGCAACCAGCTGAGCGGAACTATCCAGTGCATGACAAGGAACACCTTGCCATGAAGTATGCACTCGCGAAGTTCAGAGTCTATCTATTAGGAGATAGACCCTTCATTGTTTACACTGACCATGCGTCATTACGCACGGCAGTGGACAGTCCGCACCTTTCACAACGAATGGCGCGGTGGTTGTCATTCTTTGCAGAATACAATTTTACGGTCGAGTACAAACCAGGACGACTTAATGTCGTCGCTGATGCACTCTCACGTCGTCCCGACTTTGAACCAGTCGTGAAACCCAACAGTGAGACAGTCACGGTTGCGGTTATGACGTCCTCAGTCCCATCTTCAACGCTGAATGATGATGTGAGGCGGGCATACGCCCAAGATGGTGAGATTGTGAAGTTGTTGATACATCTCTCACAACCATCTTGAGAATCGTTGAAACGATTGTCGTCTGCGTATCGATCTGCATCAGATCGATACACTACTCGTAACGGTTTACTGTACTATACAGCCGTTTCTGGTGACACACCACGTGTTGTCATTCCAGATGATACTGATCTGCGTTTGCGGATCATGTCCGAGTATCACGATGCTCCTATAGGAGGACATCGTGGCCGTGAGAATACAGATCTCACGGTGAGTCGAGACTTTTACTGGCCCCGCCAGTATCAGTTTGTGCGAAAGTATGTTCGCGCATGCGAAGTCTGTTAACGAGTGAAGTCAAGTCCTTCACTGCGTGCACCTTTACAGCCTCTACCGGTTCCGGCTGAGTGCTGGGAATCCATCTCAATGGATTTGGTCTTCGGGTTACCCAAAGACGCCCGCGGGAATACGGGTATTCTCGTATTTGTTGACAGATTCAGCAAATTGTACACCTTGGCTGTACCAGAGTCAATCTCAGCAAGTGGCTGTGCTTGTGTCTTTATTGACACCATCTTCCGACTTCATGGGTTGCCCATGAACTCGTATCAGACAGAGATCCACGATTCACTGCTGATTTCTGGCGTTCCGTGTTCAAATCACTCGGAACGCGCTTGAAGATGTCGACATCTGATCATCCAAAGTCAGATGGTCTGACGGAACGAGCCAATCGTGTTCTTGAAGAGATACTTCGAGGATACGTACAATCCTTTAAGAGTTGGAGTGAGTTCTTGCCAATGGTAGAGTTTGCCATCAACAACTCGGTGCATGCGTCCACGACAGATGCACCGTTTTACGTGAATGGCTTATGCCATCCGCGTGTACCCACCTTACTAGAGTGTAACTCTGGTTTAAGGGGGGGAGGGACTCGCGCGAGCAAAAACCGATTTGGTTCACGCTCATCACGCTCTAACGAAGAGGTCATTGCGTTTAATGCCGATATCGATAACATCGATATCGAAGAAGATGATGCCAGTGAGAGTGCGGAAGCCCTCACTGAAGAAAATATTGATGTCGCTGCAGTGCACTCACAGCGCACTGAAGCTAACGAGTCAGCAGACGAGTTCATACTGGCTCGTGAAACGGTATTCCGTTCTGTGCAAGTCTTTATCGCCGAAGCGGTGGATAAGCAAAAGCAAAACGCTGACAAGAATGTAAGGGCAAACACTCTTATATTTAATATAGGTGACTTTGTCCTACTGTCTACGGTTATCACACCAAAGCAAGTGGTGACTAATTTGGGTAGAAGTAAACTACTACCCAAGTACATCGGTCCATTTCGTGTATTGCATCGCCTGGGCAACGCGTAAACGATCGAGTTGCCACGTAAGATGCGAACGCATCCCATGTTTAACGTTAATCGGCTTAAGCCGTACCATCAGTACGCTGCTTCTTCCGATGAAGAACGCCCTTGCGCTCAAGCATCTCACAGAGGGCCTTGTACTCCCGATGGTGGACACCAACAAGGGTCTGAAGAGCAGTTATCTCAGTTCGAGACCGATCAATATCCACACGAGCTACCCTTAGCTCGTCATGCAGAGATGTCAAAGCTCTCTCGTTCTCAAGCTGAGCGAAAGAAAACTCAGCTCGATGCTCCAAGACAGTGTCCACTAGTTGAAGACGCCTGCCCCGCTCATGCTCGAGGTCACCGCGTAACGCTTGCGTTACGCGATCAAGGAAGCTCTCGGAGACACACGCTCCCCCACGATAGTTTGGAGAGCGTCTTTCCTCCTCCTCCACCTCCTTTGGAGGGCTCTCGCGGTGGCCAGAGCTATCTTATTGAGCGGCTGTTGAACAACCGCGACGTGAACGGACGTCGGACGAGTTATCTCGTCCGGTGGCGCGGCTATCCCCCGTCCTGGGATACTTGGGAGCCCGCTTTCAACTGATGGTTGACAGACTGGGTCTGGTTGAGCAGTACGACGCGGCACATCCTGTGCCGCAGAAGGACCGCCGGAGAAAGTCTTCCCGGCACGGTCGTAAAGGGATTTCAGGTTGTCAGTCCTTTCGTACATCTCAATAGAGATACGTACGCACCACCACGGGCTATTAGGGAGGTAAGCCTCCTTAGGTGCTCGTGCAGAGTTGTTCACACAACATGGGCACGAGTCTCCCCAGGAGAGACAGGGTCACCCACTCTCCCTAGACAGACGATACAGCTTATAGCGTGCACCTGTCGGGGTTCTCTTCTCAAACTTGTCACGAGCATTGATAAGTTTGTCGTTCCGAACGTCACGACCTACATCCTCAAGGTTATAGATGTAGGCGTTCCACGCTTGAAGAAGTGAGGGACCATCACGCTTGTGATTCCCAATGTACCATCGATGTCTAAAGAAAGCATCGATGAAGAATTCGTTTTCAGCGCGATAGTTTTTCGCTCTGGGGTCAATGTGATGGATCCTTGACGAATCGAACAACCGTGTTCGATAACGATCACTCGTCGTCGCCGACAAGTGATCCATGACAGATTTAGGAGGCATCCATGCCTTCTTCTCAAGAGCGAGACGCAAGACATTGCGGTCCTGCTCTTCTTGCGACGTACCGACAGAAGTACTGGCACCTCATTGCGAAGTGGCGTCCATAGGAGAACCGACACCACTGTTAGCGCTTGAGTCTCGCGACCTCGAGCGCCTTCGCTTCGGCGATGGTTCATCTGGTTCATCAGATGAACCAAAGATGCTACGATGCATAGCATCATCCATGCCACGCTTGGCAGGCGGCTTAGATTCAATCGCCGTCGATACGGATCCGTCTTCCGTATCAGGAGAGTATGAGACACCGAGCTCATACTCTGTGAAGACATGAGTGTCTTCATGACCAGCGCCTGCATCACCAGGTGACACAGGCTGAGTCGCTTCAGCAACCAATGAGACATCAGTTGCTGTGGTTTCTGCTTCGGCGTCCGCACAGAGACGTGCGGACGCGCTCTCGGCGGCCTTGCTCGCGCATCGCATGGGCTTGTTTACCATGCGATGAACTGTTGAAAAGTGGACTTGGACCAACAAGTGCAAACCCTGTCCCAAATGATTTGGGACGAGTATCCATTTAGTCAATCAGTCACTAAAGTGACTGATGGTTAAGGGGGGGTGGTGTAACGGGGTGTAAAAATATAAAAATAAATTGTTAATAGAATATAACTACATGAGTTACATTCTCAGAATATTGTCATATGGACAATATTCTGTAGCACTTACGAGTAGTTCCTAATTGGTTGATATAGGCCATTATATCAACCAACGAAGACGCGCCACGACAGACGCACGCAATGAGTGGTGAGCAGATAACTGATTTACACATTTGTATTTAGGCACAGTTAGATGAGGATAAATAGTGATTTTATAACAGACATTAACTATGATAAATACAGTTCTACTTTTTACTTTAACCAAGTACTTGCTTCTTCTTACCGTCTTCCTCTGCACGTACAAGTGTACGTGAAGTTCCGAGGCACCGCCTTATTCCGTCATCAGAATAAGTAGCTTGTACTGTCACCAGTACAAGCTTCAGGGTGCCCCATTACATTACACGTATTAAGTGTGCGAAAAAGCATGTCCTCTCCTCCTAGGTATACAGGGGTTTGTCTGGGCCGTATCCAACTGATATTTGCACCTGCCCAAATCTGTTGCAAAGAAGGTAAAAACCGAAGTGAATATATTGAAGGTCCTTAGTTCACTACCCTTAGCTAAGTCTAAGCCTTAATGTAACGACATCCTGCGATCTCATTATGTAATCGCGATCCATAACTTTCTTCCGTAACCAACACCATGAAACACCCTGACACAGAAATCATAACCATGAACCCAACATGAAACGACTGCATGAAGCGGCGTAATCTCAACGAAATCCCGCACCCACTGATACAAAAAATTAGGACATGAATAGCGTGTTTTGCGGTAACTTTCTTAAATTTCCGATCATATTCACGACACAATACCAGGTTATGGATTAGTTGATATCCTTGCGAGAGGTTCGGCATTATATCATCAGATAGCGTGTTAATTTTTCTTTAAGGCATTTTTATCATCACACGATACACAAACTGAATCGAAAGATCGATTAACAAACGCCAAATCTTGCGTCAATAATGAAAGCCTTTGCTTTAGTTTTAAAGTTCCGTGGGCGACAGACGCAAAGAAGGATGAGATCGTGGCCTAGATGATCCCTTTTCCGATGAGGATGTTTCTCATAGTGAAAACGATGGTCTTGACGCACCTGAAGAAGGGAGGAAAGGGAATATAGAGCCGCCCAATTCCGGTAGTGATGAAACCAACGTAGTTCTGACTTCTGTGAACACCCACCTGCTATGCAAATGTCTCACAAGTTTGTTTTGCCGGAAGTTTTTGTCTTTGGAAGAAGCAAACGAATTTTGCGTCAAACACATTTTCATCACGGTTTTGAAGCAAAATGAGGGAAGAATAACGGAAGCTTAGAAATTATAACAAAAGATTGTTCATGCTCCTCGTCAGGAAAACTTGACAGCTACGGTCCTTCAAAAAAACAAAGTTCGCAGAAATACAAATTCGCGCTTGTTAGGCTGCAAGTGGAAAGCGGCAATTAGGAAAGGCATGGACGGAAAAGTCACAATCGATTTAATGGGAGCCCGTAATCATTTTGATAGCTCTGATACTAAAGCTGATCATATCTCGCGGCAGCTTTCCCCTGAGCATACGAAATATACCATGACATTGATTGAACAGATCAGAAACCAAGCGAGATTATTGAAGTTATGAAGCTCAGGTTTGGAGTCCTGTGCAGGCTGAATAAAGTAGACATTGCAAGATCGAACCAGAAGAAGAAGAAGCGTCTTTCGTAGGGGAAAGATAAAACGACGGCTTTAGTGGCGTACCTGCAGAGAGATGACGCCGGATATCATGTTAGGCAGAACGATGATGGGAGACTCACTCATCTGATTTTAGTTCCAGACACTGTCCCGAACTTTAGAGGATCGAGGGAAGTAAGATGGTTGTGTACATGGACGAAACTTATCGTATCAACAAGTACAACATCGAGTTGCTGCATACTGTTTTCTCGTCCAACACCAACATCATCTGCACTCTCGGATACTGCTTCATGAAGACTGCAAAAGAAGTGGATATTACGTGGATATTGGACTCATTTAATAATAGGTGCGTAATTCTCAAAGCTCATGCCATTATTACAGATGTAGACCAAGCGCTGACAACGCATTCCATGTCTTTCCCCATGTAAAATGCATTATGTGCTTTTGGCATATTCTAGCCAAAGCTTGATTTTAGCATGAATTGTATTTTCCTTCATCAAGAAAGAGAATGTGCTCAACGTCACGGTATCTTACTATAGATCTGACAGGAGTTTCAGAAATCATTTCAAATTTTGTCTGCGCACATTTTCAAATCTCGTTTTATTGAGTCATAGAAAGAGCTGAAGCTTTCAATTTCTGAAGATTGATGGGACTAGATATTGATCATCTTTCCTTATAGGGAAATGCTCTGCGGTGCATGGCTGATAGGGATTTTGCACCAAAGCCAAATCATAACCTCCAGGGGCGAAGGTGATCATGCGAGCTTGAAGCGAAAGCTGGGTTCGTTACGAAAGTCATTATTCTCGGTCCACATTATGACTGAACGATTATGCTTATGGCAACTGGATAAGATTTCTACTAAGCTGGGCATAAACTCATGTTTGTGTCTACTGATTGTCCTTCGATTTTCGGTGGCTTCGTCAAGAGTATTTTCGGCGTAGCACTGAGAGTTTTGACGAAGGAATTCCAAATTTTCATCGTTCGACTTGCCAAAGAAAGACAAAATTGCAATGACGTGCTCGATCAGTGCGACTAAAAACACGAATGTCGAATGTGGATTTCTTGTGGCAACGCATCATTTATGACCTCCTCGGATGTGCGTCTCAATCATATTACATTCATGCTCACTAGTTTTTGGGTAAAACATTTCAGCCCAAAAACAACTCGAACGACTCTCGCATTTTACTTTTACACGTCTGGAATTTATCCAAAAAACGTCGATCCACTTCTGCAGATAATACCGTCAAGACGATGGAAGCTGAAAGACATTTCAAAAAAATGCAACGGATGCAAACAGTATGCTCATCACAGTTTTAACACTTGCCCCGTCCGCCTTTTTGAACGAGCAGTACAGAATTTTCGCAATCGACTACCGAGACTTTGACCCCGCGAGTCGCAGCGGGTCCATCGTAAACTGCTACGTCCGTACACACACCTGTGGGCGTCTCACAGGTTTAATTTGATTGCACATGTTGAGCAGCTTGAGTACATCGTTGGAAGATTAGAATCGCAGATCTTCCACCCAAGGAGCAGCACATCGACCAGATGTTCCTGCTATGTTGTGGACCAATCTGTTTTCAATCGCAGCACTTCTCTAATCACTGTTCTTCACCCGATCACTTCGGAATAGACTAACGGTAAGATTTGAGCTTTAACTCATCTGCTGGTCTGCTGTTTTAAAAAGATGGTTAGTCTTTTTACGCATGAACAAATCTGAAATACCGTTCCTATGGCTCGAGATTACAGACTAAGTCTAGCCTTACTATCGTACGGTAAATTACATCATAGAGCGTATAAAGTCCATGCCTGAAGAGTGAAGAGGGGCTGTTTCGATCACTCAAATGTAGTTCAGGACAGGAATAACTAAATTGTTTACAAAAGTAACGCCGTGAAGTGTGCTGCTCGTGCTTCTGCATTGCCGTTATATTTCTGACGCCTTTGCTACATCTCTTTTAAGAAGTGGGGACGTACTTACCTCGTAACATTAAGCGAGAAATCAAGATCACCTATCACTACAATGTATGGCAGTGTCTGATCGTTCAGCATGCGGTGTAGCGTTCACTTGATCAGCATTCAACGATTGACATCGTTTGTGCCAATCAAATTACCAAGCTCAGTGTCCAGGTAGCATTTGCGCCACAAAGGACGGGTCTCGTCCTACACACCGACGTCTTACACCATAAAGTTAATGTTGGAAAATGGTTTTATGTGGATTACATGACATTGAAGGAGGTTTGATAATGGGCGACTGATCGGGGCTACGGCGTCAGTGAAACGACCGTGCCGTGGTTGAAACAATCTCGGTAAAAGTAGGCGTCGGAATACATTAAAGAAATCAGTAATAGTTCCACATTTGCACTCAAAGGACGAGGTTTGTTTGCTTACACAGGGGTGTTTTCTAGGTTATGAGCCCAAAAAATCTTGTAATCCCTGCGCGCAATGAAGTCACGCCTGCGACATTGGGCGAATGCAATCAGGTCGCCATGTCACTATTTACTGAGTCTGCAGAGACAGTCATTCGTGAGGTCGTCGAAGAAACCAACAGCGTGAACCTCAAGATCCTCGAGGCATTGACCGCCATGCAAGATCGCATGGCTTGTCTCGAGCTTTCGCAGCTTAAGAGAGAGGAGGATGAGCGCATGAAGTAGGCTCAAGAGACTGGTGTTTTCAATTCAGCATTTGAAAGAAGTTTTAGCTCGTCACGAATGGAGATGAATGCTTTCCTCTAGACGCCTCCACTAGTGATGAAATATTTGCCAAGGGCTCCGGAGTTCCGAAGCTCTATGTATTGGCAGCATCAGGGATATGCTGCTATAAGGCAAGGCTAGGCGATGGATCAAGCACCCTACACAGCAGAGGGTACCAGCACCACCAAATTTGCCTCCTGGCTACATTCTACAACAGATGGGTAGGATTCGAGTACCCGAAACTTACCAGAGAAAACTACCATTTCGTCCTTTCGATGTAACGAATTATACGATGGACTAGGATCTGGCTTTCTGGATTGAATTCATCGTTTCGTCAAGCAGCTTGTGCTGGCTTAATTGGCATGTGGATTTGATTTTTTCTGAAGAAGCTAAGACTGACTTAATTGTACATTACCTGAGTGGTACTGCGGAGCGGTACTAATATAAGCAGCTTGAGACTTAGTGACTTGAGCAACCATCTTTGCAACATGTTATGGAATGCTTGCACAAAACGCTCTAAGCGACAAATACTTAAACTCAAGCCAACAAGATTTAACTACAAGGAAAGATCCGAAGAGGTCTTGGCCTCATTACTATTTGTATCTTGTCGCAGTGAACGACGTGACAGGCGGTGCAGAATCGCTAGTACATGAAAACATTGTGCAGTACGCTTCAACTGATTTGCGTCACGTACTGATGGCCAAGTACGATAAGAAGATGATGATTTAATTGAGACAAGCGGAGGAGCTTACACACTTTGCCCAGACAATTGAAACTGACATGCAAGGCACAAAGACTACTGGAAGAGATGTCGTATTGCATGTAGCAGGATCAAGGCCAAGATCAAACACGAAGGCGTGATTCAATTGAAAAAAGGATGGCCACATTGCGGCATATTGTCGTGGAACAAAGAACAAGAACAACGATAATGGACGTGGACGAGGAGTCGACATGACTCTTGCTGTAGTAGATGATTTGACCAACGTTTAAAACCAGTGGATATTGGACAGTGGATCCATTCGTCATCTTGTGAGTGATGAGCGCATGCTCGAAGAATCAAGTGATTTTGTAAAAAATTGCATGCTACCAGATTATCAAACGCTACGTATCACAAAAGTCGGTTCAGTCTTACTTCGAGTGCATGTTGCTGGTAAGTCCGGTATAATTAGACTAACTAATGTCCATCTTGCACCATTAATTACAAGGAACATTATGTCGCATGGAAAGCTGGAGGAGAAGATTTTCAGTCTTACGCACGTTTATGGTGTTCAATCTCTGGTGCAAACCAAGACTGGCATCGTGGCATTCAATGTTCAGATTAACAATCACGTACTGATGGTTAAAGCTGAATCAGGACTTTTTGCCTTGGCGCCGCGCGATGAAATCATGTCGATTTTAAATGATGTAGAGAATGCCTAAGCTAATTTGGATGTGCTTGTTGACACGGTGATGTTTTTCATCGACGTATGGCTTGTTTGCCTTACGACACCATCTAACGTAGCGAAAACGTTCGCGTGAATCGTTTGACTTGTGCGCAAGGAAAATAAGCAAGAGACGATCATTCCAAGAAAGATTCTGGCAAGAATATTTTAATAAAAAAAATCTAGAGGGTGTTATGCAGAGATTTATAGGGTCCGATGAAGCCGAGGGGTCGTCTAGGCAATCGGTACCTGATTGACTTTCGTGACCACAAGTTAAATTATTGCCGCGTGTTTTTAGCCAAGAAACCAAGGATGCTGCAGCCAACAAATTTGAGATTTTTGGCGTTCTTCGAGATCATCTTTGATTTTAGGATTCAAATTCTGCGTACTGATGGTGGCGGTGATAATCAAAATGTTGATTTATTTTGTAAGAAAACTGGAAGTGCGCGTCAAGAGTCTGTAGCCAGAAATTAATCTTTTAAATGGAAAGGCAGAGCGCGTGTACTTGACCATCTTTAACATGGCCAGGTGTATGATATTCGCCTGCGGTCTAACGTTTAAATTTTGGTGACGCACCGTGGAGTACGCTGCATGCACACTTAATCGGAGTACAAGCGGCTCAAATCGATATAGGACATCTCCTATCAAAGTGCTTACGAAAAATGATCGTACTTTTAGCTCTATCGTGGCATTTGGATCGATATGCACAGTTTACAGGGATACACGCAGGAATTTCCTTCAGCAACGAGCACGAGTTGGAGCGATTGTTGGTAAGAGTGACGAAAATGTAAGGATATTGTGTGTTTTTGAAGCAAGAAAGTGCGGCCATTGTCACTCAGCATGTAAATAAAATATCGAGACTTTAACTGATGCACAAAATTTACATATTAGCGCGGAAGTACTGTTTGAATTGGCGATGGCATTACCACGTTAAAATGAAATAAAGCAACGAGTGCTCCGTCAGAGATTGTTGCTCCTAAGAAGAATCAAAAGAAGGAGAAGTAGAAGAAATTCTGGCAGAGGTCGCAGTAGGAACACTCTCGGGAACACGTGTTTCGCCACATGATGATCGTCAGAAGGAAACCAGCACGGCGAAAGTGAATCACATCGTCAACCGTAAAACAATGAATTGTGGCGAGGCTATGAGAAGTCAAAAGTTGGATATGTGAGTTAATTTATGGAAGAAGAGCTGTCTGCGTTAAGACGACTTAGTGTTTTCAAGTCATAAAATGTCCCAAAGACATATATGCCCTGCATAGTAATTAGTTATTAAAGATAAGACAAGCACTTAAGAAAAACTTTGATCTTTTTAAGTCCCGACTTGTTGATTGCGGAAGCGAGCAAAAGTTCGGAGTTGATTGCTTTCTATTTTTTTTGTTGCAGTCATGAAAATGGCGACAGTCAAGATCATTTGGCTTTGGCGGTTATTTGGAAAGTTTCTGCTCATCATGACAATGTGCATAATGCCTACGCGCAAGCTTACTAGGAAAGCGGGTTGGACGTATACCTGCGTGCACCAGGTGTAATGTTTTACACGGATGAAGAGCAAACGAAATTTGGAGCCACGTCTAGCGACGAGCTTATGCTCAAGTTGAAGAAGACTCTGTGTGGTTTGAAGAAGTCTGGGAGTTTGTGGACCCACTGATTCACGACAAGGTCACTGCAGCTGGGTTTTCGCGATGCATCACGGACAGGTGTTTTTGCCACAAATGTATCGATGGAGACACAATTCGTGTTGGTGTTTACGTCGATGATATTTTAGTAACATCGACTCGTGCGGATATGTTTGGAGGTTTTAATAGTCTGACATTTCTTTCGATCAAGCAGCTCGGACGCGTCAGCGAATTTTTCGGTTTGCGCATTGCAAAAATATTTAATAAAGCATGAGCTTTGGATCGACAAAAAGGGATTTACGACATAATCGTAAGTGCCCATATGGAATTGATTAAAGAGGTACGCACACCAATTGGTAAAGATTGCTACAAATTATATCATGGAAACGAGGATCTGCTATCGGTATGCGCGAGTAAAGGTCGGCCGACTGTGAAGATTTTCCAGTCTCTTGTGGGCAGCCGGCTGTGGGTGGCACGCTGCACAAGGCCAGATATTGCATATTCTCTTCATAAAGCAAAAGAAAATTACAGCAGCCAACTGTTCACGACTGGAATTTAGCAAAACTCATACTACGTTACCTAAAGGGAAATCAAACGCTCAAGGTGCACATGTGCACCTATCATCCTAAAGGAAGCCCCTTGAGACTGTCATCGTACATCGACGCTGATTTTGCAGCAGACAAATACGATCGTAAGTCGTTGACAGGTGCAATTACAATGTTAGATGGAATGATTATTACCTAGACTTGCAAAAAACAAGGTGGCATATCATTGTCGACTATGGAAGCAGAATTTGTCGCCGCTTCAGTCGAGGCTCGTGAGCTACCTGGAGTCCGTAAATTTCTGCAGGAGTTGGGACTCGTAATCTTGACCCCAATGCCAATGATATATGACAATCAGGCTGTCATTAAACATTTGAATGGGGAATCATCATCCGCGAAAGGAAAACACATTGACACAATTGTCAAGTTTGTTGTGATCAAGCAAGACGAGTTATAATAACTCCACAATACGTACCTTCGGACGAAATGGTAGCTGACGTGTTGACGAAGGCGCTGGATTTTCACAAACTGGAAATTCTTCGCGCTCTTGTGAGCCTGCACCAATCACAACACGGCTGAGAAAGAGTGTTAGAAAATGAGTTTATGTGGCTTACATGGCATTGGAGTAGTTTTGGTGATAGGCGAGGCTACGGCGTCAGTGAAACGATTGCGCCTAGGTTGAAATGATAACGGTATAAGGAGGCGTAGGAATACAAACAAGAAACTAGTAATAGTTCTTGTTTGCACTCAAAAGAAGAGGTTTGTTTGCTTACACAGGGGTTGTTTTTATATTTAATCTTCTTGTACTCCACTATCACGGAGTTATATCCTACCACCAATCCGAGACATAGATTCAAGGCTGCTTTTCTTAAGTAAATACACAAAACAGCAAAAATTAGGTCAAGCATTTTTACCATTGTATTCGTACGTAATGCAGTGGTCAACATATCTTCAGGTAACAATAGTTGATACGGCCTTGAACTCTTCCCCCAGGTCGAGATTTTAATGTATCGTGGTCAAGAGAGAGTGCCAAGACCGACCGTGATGATGCTTATCTCGTCTTGGCCGAATAGGCGTTTAAACATGCGCGAGAAAGCCAAATTTATGATTGATGAATTGTCTTATTGGCGGTTTCACATTCGAACATAGCTATCTGTCGCTTCCGGTACTTTTCAAAGCGAGCTGTGCAAGCGAAAATACGAAATTATGTTATGCAGTCATATTCACCCACTTTATAACCCGCAAAATATAACACCTCATTCTTCGTGAATTCAACGGATAATAGATATTTATACAATCGATAAAATACGTATTTAATTAGTGGGTACGGTATTTAGGTATGGTGCAGATTGTTGTTGTGTCAATCCAGGCAAACCCGCACATAGGGTCAAATATTTGAAGACGCGTTTTGGCTAGATCACTATTGTGACGCACGCACATGGTTTGTTATAACCGATAAAGTGTAAATATTATTATAAAAGCAATGCTAGATGCTCAAAAGCAAATGCGATCAGCATTTACTTTAGGTTATCACCGAGGTTTCAAGCATCACACTCATTCTCTGGTGAGTGCTGTTAAATAGTGTTTTGCGTATCGACTCAGTTCTCCGAACTATCTTGCATAAATCAGGAGATAAAGCTCTGAAGGTTGCCCATTGATGAGATAGGTGATTACGCTCTAATGCTTGCCTTTTTATCAGATAGGGTAGCACGATCTGGTACTAGTCCTCTTATATATGTAATTAAGTCCAAATAACAATTTAGGTTCTGTATTATCAAGTTCATTTGCGCTCAGTTACTTAAAGTTTCACTCCTTGAGCTCGCAATGATGCTTATAGACCGATGAAGAGGATAATGCCACAACGCGATTAGAACGACGCGTTAGGTACACCCAGCGTTTGTTTACAAAAAACTTGCGGGTAAAATGGCTCTTCGAAATAAGTGCGACGTGTATGGTGTATCAAGCGCTACTGATAATAACAGTAGCGGAGCTACCCTACCTTATTTATTAGAGAAAGACTTCTAAACTCATTAAGTCTCTTAGTTTGTTCAATGAAACGGGTGTTAACTTAACTTTTCTTAATTTTATACAGACTTAGTGAGACTCAACTCTATCTATCTTAACAAGTTAGCAAGCTTCTAGTCCTGGTTCAGAGAACTAATGACTCGAAGGAATTGTGTGGCACTAATGCCCAAGATTAGTAGTCTTAATACAGACTCTAAACTTCTTACGGTCAAAGAAGTCTTCGAAAACGAGTGTCTGAAACAGATCAAACGGGGAATTGAATGCATTTACGGATTTAAAGCGACAATAAACCTCGCTAAAGTTTTTAGCCTTGAAACTGTGCTACCCGATCGAATAGTCCTCATCGTCGTTCTTCTGGTATACCACAATAGAACTATGCTGTCCCTTTAGAGATCATATTAAGATAGATAGCATTTATCTGTAATCGATAAGGTAAGGTATTACCGCTTTGTGCATGTGATACAATCGTACGCCTATCAGTGGAACTGATATCTTTATGTGTATATCACACCAGCATTCCTAGTTATCACAACCGTTTGTGTAAAATCGCCTTATTACAATAATTACCTGTCCATATCGGATTTAGTGCGACGTGCATAGCACACCTGACGTTACTCACATTGACATAGGAGATGGCAGAATTAATTGCGCGAAGTAAGACATTTTTAAAACCTCAAAAAAAAAAATGCAAAGATGGCGATGTCGGCCTCGACAAGGTTAGTTAAAAGGATACCGGGTATAATATTCTGTTCTACTTTAACCTTACCACTACTCTTACCTAATCGGTCTGTGACTTCCTTTGCGTATAACTTACTTGAACCCTTTATCTGGGTAACCATGCCGTAAACAAATGTTTTATGTTTGGGCAAATTGGTGGAATTGCAGCTTATTTGACATTGTGACGACACCACAGGATATAGACTGGTTTGGTCGAACTTAGTTCTATCAAGTTGTGTATGCCTGGAGGTAAAGCGAGTGCAATTCCCTTTTGCGGCATTTTAATCAGATCTCACAATCGGCCTTAAATACAATTAAGGCGAATCGGTAGTGAAGCAGCTGAGCAACCCCATCGTCAAGGATTCCTAATCTCAATTTTCTAGGTCCTTCTCGAACTTCTGAAAGACGAATTACCATCTATTGGCGCCGGACTGTACGAGTGCGGCTGCAGCTTGCGCTAATATGCCAGCACTTTAATGATGCCGGAAAACATCCATGAGCTTTATAAAATATTTAAAAATACGTCAACACTACAACTCAGAAAAAAGCACCAATTTCGTGCATATGACTATCGACCACTAATTTCACAATGTAATTTGTTAAGCACTCACGCGAGATGTACTACAGGGTTATTTAAGTTGGCATCAGGGTCTCGACGTCTGCTTCTTTTTCGTCACCGCGGCAGTTAATGTTCCCCATTCTATAAAGACTTTAGTATGCGGTCGCGCGCAAAGACGTGCGCTTTGGGTTTTGATAAACTTCATTCTGCGCTCCAGGAGGACAGAACTCAGTAGGTCTCCGTGGCACAATCCTTCATTGGACTTCACGACCATGAGCACTTAAAACTTGCAAAAGCTACCCAAAATCCTTTTTAAACTAAAAATATGGGTTTTCGAAAAATGAGATCGGCTATACCATTGCAATACCTGCTAGCCTACCCGTTGACTCCTCTTACTCTTCACCAATGATTTTTACCGCATTTACAGGAAAAGAAGAGTTCATCACCTTGCCTTGCCGAGATGTACTGTTAAGATCTAAATCATATTTAGGAGGACGTTAAAGTTCATCTAGCGCTTTTTGAAAATCAAAAGACAGACAGACAAAAAAGTACAAAAAATTTCAGCAGCCACCTTGCGCAATGTAAATAACAGCTTCACTCGTCGAGCATGCATTAGTTTACGTAAATGATTTTAAAGAGAACCCTAATTAAACGCAACTGACTAAATGACTATCATTGAGCAGAGTGCTGCAGATATCTGTGGATTGGGCTCCCGTCGCTTGTGCTATCATAGTACGAGCTGTTTATACTCAGCACAGAGTAGAGCGATGCCTCAAAATTTTTAAGTACATGCGTCTTGCAGAGGAAGTATTCAACACGAGAGAAAGGGGTAAAAGTAGAGCTGAATTTAGTGCATTTAATCTTCGGTCAATAAATCCTATTTAGTCGTCATTTAACTGTATCCGGATACAAACATGTATTGTAACTATCTGCTCACCACTTATCGCGTTTTCCGTCGTGGATCGGCTTAGTCAATTAATATCATCAATCTTAATCAACCAATGAGCAGTGTATTACTTCTGCAACACAATATTGCTTGTAAGTCAATTTTGTGAGAATAATTCTGGTCGTCCTAGCAAAATATTCGTACTTGACATTTACCTCGAGTGTATATTAAGCAACGAAAGATCCCCTTTACAACGCTTTTCCGAATGCCATTAGTCGTGTTTGTGACTAATTGATAATCAGG